ATCTCAGCTCAAGCATCCATGACTGATGGCCATCCAACCTCTGCTTAAAAACCGCCAAGGAAGGAGAGTCCACTACATCCCAAGGAGTCTGTTCCGCAGTCGAGCAGCTCTTACCCTCAGAAACGTAGGTCCAGTTCTGGGCACCAAAATCCTCATACTGTATATATTTTGAGGAAGTAAAAACATGTTGTCTTAAAAAGCATTTCACCCATTCCAAAAACCCAGTCCAAGTATTTCCCCAAATTTCCCTTTGGGATGGAGTGAGAGAATGGGGGAAGTTCTTCACATCTGTGGGTATCAGAAAAGTATATACACAACAGAGCTGTGATTGGCTAAGGCTTCACAAGAGACATAATAAATGCAAGGGGGGATGAAGTGGGATTGCCGTGCACTTAGTTTTCATGCAGTTGTGCAAAGCTCTTCTCAAAGAGCCCCCGTGTGTACAGTTGTTTGCACGGTGGCCCCTCTCTGCCCCTCCCGGTGGGAACCCTGCTTTTCCAAGGTTCCTGATTTCATGAAGCGAGAGCCCTTCTCATATACAGTCCTGCACAGAGGCTCTTTTTCAGTCCTGTAAAAACAAAAATATCACCAAGCAGTAAAAGAAAATGCTGTGGATTAGGGGTGGAGCTTGCTGTTGCAGTCTCTCCCCCACATATTCATTGCACAGAACATCTGAAAGGGATGGGCTTACTTGAGAATGCTTGGTGGCAAGCCGAAATATCAGATGCGCAGGCAGGGGGCTATGTGAGGCATTGTTTGGCAGCTAATTCCAGAGAGGTATGGAATGTCCTATTCCTCTGATTTCTGCGTTGCAGGGGGTTGGACTAGATGGTCCTTGGGGGTCCCTTCCAACTCTGCAATTCTCTGATTGTTCTGCCAATGCAAGTATTTCAGCTTGCCAGAAGGAACGATCCCCCTTCTCCTTGCACACTGTTCTCCCAACATCCCCTGGAGCCAATTGGGGGGGGGGAGAGATGCAGAGGAGGAGAGGGGGAAGCCCTCTTGCACAAGCAGATGTCCTTGTACAGGGCTTCCACGGATGGGACTCATTAGATGACTCCTGCACATAGTAAATTCTATATATGCACTGCAGTTGTGCTCCACTCCCTGCTTGACTATTTGTTAAGCTGAGTGTAGAACAGCTGATAATATCCATAATTTATTAAAGTAAATTCCTTTGGACTATAAGATATAAATTTCTCATTTGGCTAAGAAACAAGAAACTGCTTTCCATTTAATGGGGGTGTGTGGCTGGGGGAATAACTCTGATGGCTTATGGCTCCCCCAAAATGCATTGCTGGGCATGGCTTTCAAGCGCATTGTGTTTAGAGTCTGTGCCCAGCTTTCACAATCCATAAAGTTGAATCTAAACCTGTATGTAAGCTAGTAAAAAAATAATCAAATGGTATTAAAATGTTAATGATGCTATCATATTATCTGTTTACAACAGAATCTAAACTCACTGAGATGAAAAGGATGCCTTGGAAGAGCACAAAGAATAAAGGAATTGAGAGTATTTCAAATTCTGAGGAAGTGTTTTGATATTGATTTGCATTTAAATGAGTTTTAGAAGGGAAACATAAGAAGGGCTCAAACAAGAGACATTTCAGCCAGTGGATTATCCAAGATGGGATTTAAGTGGACAGGATAGGAGTAGGCAACTGAGGATTTTCTGGAAGAAAGTTTGGTGGAAGAAAATGCCATTGATAGAATAGATTGTTTTGTCTTCCTAGCAAAAAGCATTGCTTTCTGTCCCAGAAGCCTTCTTGTGTATGTTAAATATTTGCCTCTAATAACTTTGGGTTCTGTTTTGGTTTTATTTTTCATCTTAGCCTGTCACATGGGAGTCCTGAGCACTTTTCAGGTTCCTTTTCCTGTGGAATAGTGGTAGTATTGTGAGTTGCAGGGGTGGGATAGTAGGCTGTATGCCAAGACCCTTCTAACCCCTGGATCCAGTAAGTGTTAAACTATAAGCCAGGCTAGCTTCCTAGTAAAGTGATCAACTGTGTGAGTGATGGGCCATTAAGGAGAACAAAGGCAGGGTGAACCAGGGGTCAGCAAACGTTTTCAGCAGGGGGCCGGTCCATTGTCCCTCAGACCTTGTGGGAGGCCAAACTATATTTTTTTGGGTGGGGGTGATGCAAGAGAACCTCGAGCCCCGGCGGCTGCTTACCTGTGTCTTGTGAGCGGCAGGGGGTGGCAGTGACGGAGGCACGATGAGCGGCGCGGAAAAGGGCTCCGGAGAGGGGCTGCTTAAAATGGCGGCTGCTCGAGCGCTGCTGCTGCTGCTGGCACCAACAAAGCCCAGCCCCCTTCCTCCTCTAGGCAGGGCAGAGAGAAGCCAGGAGGAGGGGGGGAGGAGGCGCTGGCACCGTATGAGGGAGAGGGAAAGAACATGCGCTGGCGATCCACAAAGCGATTCCTGGACCATCCGTGGGCCAGATCCACAAGGCAATTGGGCCTGATCTGGCCCACAGCCCTTAGTTTGCCTACCTATGAACTAGACTTTCTGTCACCCAGGTCAAAGACTCAGTTTGGCACCCCCACCCCCATGCACATTTGCATACACACACCTGTGCACACTCTCACACGTGCGCCTCAACAGATTTGTTTTTAAAGGGCATAAAATAATAATAATAATAATAATAATAATAATAATACAGTAAGAACAGCCCTGTTTACTAACTATTCGGTTTACGAACTCTGCAAAACTGGAAGTAGTGTCCTGGTTTGCGAACTTTACCATTGTCTAAGAACAGAATCCGATAGGTGGAAGGGCACTGGCTGTGGAAGGCCTCCTCAGGGAAAGCGTGCCTCAGTTTAAGAACGTTTTTGGTTTAAGAATGGACATCCAGAACTGATTATGTTTGTAAAACAAGGTACCACTGTAACAACAACAACAAATTACTTATACCCCAGCCACTCTGAGCAGCTTTCAGCAGAATATTAAAAACACAATAAAACATCAAACATTAAAAACTTCCCTAAACAGGGCTGCCTTCAGATGTCTTCTAAAAGTCAGATAGCTGTTTATTTCCTTGATGGGAAGGCGTTCCACAGGGCGGGCGCTGCTACCGAGAAGGCCCTCTGTCTGGTTCCCTGTAACCTCACTTCTCGCAGGGAGGGAACTGCCAGAATGGCCCTCAGAGCTGGACCTCAGTGTCCGGGCTGAACGGTGGGGAGGGGAGACGCTCCTTCAGGTATACTGGGCTGAGGCCGTTTAGGGCTTTAAAGGTCAGCACCAACACTTTGAATTGTGCTCGGAAACATACTGGGAGCCAATGTAGGTGTTTCATGACCGGTGTTATATGGTCTCGGTGGCCACTCCCAGTCACCAGTCTAGCTGCTGCATTCTGAATTAATTGCAATTTCCAGGTCACCTTCAAAGGTAGCCCCACGTAGAGTGCATTGCAGTAGTCCAAGGAAGAGATAACTAGAGCATGCACCACTCTGGCAAGACAGTCTGTGGGCAGATAGGGTCTCAGCCTGCGTACCAAACGGAGCAGGTAAACAGCTGCCCTAGACACAGAACTGACCTGCGCCTCTCTGGACAGCTATGAGTCCAAAATGACTCCCAGGCTGTGCACCTGGTCCTTCAGGGGCACAGTTACCCCATTCATGACCAGAGAGTCCTCCACACCAGCCCACCCCCTGTCCCCCCAAAACAGTACTTTTGTCTTGTCAGGATTCAACCTCAATCTGTTAGCCACTGCATCAATCTTCCAACCACCTTCAGACACTCACACAGGACCTTCACCGCCTTCACTGGTTTAATGACCGTCTCTTTCAGTGGGTCTGGGAAGGCTCCCTCACAGAGGGAAGCATTCACCACCCCACAGAGCCTATCGCCCAGCCCTTCCCGGCTCACTTTTATGAGCCAGGATGGGCAAAGATCAAGGAGACAGGTGGTTGGTTTCATCAAGCAGCCTGTGCACATCCTTGGAGGTAACAGATTGGAATTGATCCCATACAACTTGACTAGACAGGACTCTAGCACTCTCCTGCCCTGGCCCTGCTCTCATGGTGGAGTCTACCTCTTTTCAAATCTGAGCGACTTTATCTGCAAAAAAACTTTGAAAAATTATTGCAGGAGATCTTGGGGTCCTTACCAGGCTCTGATGGCGAAGGTGGTTCTGTTAGATTGTGAACCACCTGAAAGAATCTCCTGCTGCTGTTTTCTGCAGATGCAATAGAAGCAGTGAAGAAGGTCCTCTGTCGCCACTTGGTAGGCTTGACTTTGAGCTCTAACCCGTGTCCAGTCTGATTCAGAATGAGTTTTCCACCACCAGCGCTCTAGCCGTCTCAGTGATTGTTTCATCGCCCTCAGCCCTGGAGAAAACCACGGGACTGTCCAGGCTCCATGCAATCGGAGAGGGTGCTTCGGAGCCAGACAGTTGATAGCCCTGGTTAACTCCGCATTCCAGCGGAATCAGCTGAAAGGCCATCAACATGGGATAAAACATCCTCTACCATTCTCTGGAAACAATTTGGATCCATTAAATGGTGGGGGCGGACCATCTGAATCGGTCCCACCTCCCTGCAGAGGGGAAGGGTCGTGGAGAAGTCCAGTTGCATCAGGAAGTGATCTGACCATGGCACTTTAGTTTTGCTTTTACTTAGTGTCAGATCACCAGCATCTATAGAGGTGAACACCAGGTCTAAGGCATATCCGTAACTATGAGTTGAGCCAAACATATTCAGAGACAGCCCCATGGAGGCCATGCTTTCCACAAACTCCCAAGCGCCCTCTTGTAAGGTTGCGTCGGCATAGATGTTTAAATCCCCTAGGACAGGGACGTCCAACTCCCAACAGACTGTGATCTACTCACAGAATAAAAAACTGGCAGTGATCTACCCCTTTTTAGGGGGGTTCAGGTCAAAGTTGTTGAGCTTTTTAGGGAGGTTTGTTGACCTTTTTTTGGGCGTAGCTAAGACCAATATATTATTTGAATGCAATGTTTTATTTTTTATATAACATTTTTATTTATTCCTTGTGTTTTCCTTCAGACCCATTCCTCTTATGTTCAGAAGGCAGGTATGGTAATATGCACCAAGCCAACCATCCCCCCCCCCAAAGAAAAGCAGTAAAGAACACCCCAACTTGCAAAGTTCCTCTGAGCCTCTGAAATGACTTTTTTTTTCAGAGCACAAGTTTTTGAGCTAGAGAGACCAAGTGGCCTGACATAGGATCAGGCAGTTCCATCCATGCATGGCTGTGTGTTTTCCCCTTCACATACAGTATTGCTAAGGAAAGGCAGTTCCCACTTGTCCCCAGAGCACTTCTCACAGGAAACGCTCTCCTCAGCACCAAGATATAAATATAATAATAATGGAAAGTGAGAATGATCAAGCACGTAACAGTGAGTCCTACTGGACTCAGAAGGACTTACTTCTGAGTAAAAATGCTTAGGATTGTAGTATAAGACTGCACAGTCTGTACACAGTTACCTGGGAGGAAGTTCCATTGAATTCAGTGGGTCTTACTTCTGAGTAGACATGTTGTAGTCAAAGGCTCAATGTACAATTAACACTCCACTGCTGGCTGTTGAACCATTGCAATTAAATAATTTAAAGCAGATTGGCTACATTTTCCTTCAAAATTATAGGAAATGCTTCATCAACCCTGATGGCTGCTTACTCCCTTTACGTACGGCCTGGTTCACATTAGGCTTTCTGGTCATCTACACCTGCACTGATGTAACAGTGTAAACCTATCCTTAGTTTCCAGTGACAGCAAAAGAGGCATTCTCTGGCCTTTGGGACTGCCTTGATTTTACAGTTTCCAGCCTTGAAAACATAAAATTAGAGAACTATGCAGAAATAGGAGTGTAGAACTGCATCCGGCAATTCTCCCAAAATGACTCTGGAAGACTTGCCTCTTTCTAAGAACCAAGTCACATATCCTAGTTCTGACATTAATTTTTCATAGACATCAGGACATGGTTGTAATACCTAAGAAGCCATCTGTGCCTCAAACATAACAGAAATTATTCTAAGTCTTTGTGATTATTGCCTCTTGTAATATAACCAGTGGGTCAGAATACTTGTGCTAACAGTGTGTCAATTAATTGAGAGAGAATAAAATTAAAAAGTTTGTATGTTTTATTCAAACAAAATGGACAAAGGAGGAGAAAATGTCAGAAAACTGAATAATATTCATCAGATACCTTCTTTTGTTCCATTTGCTTTCAGTGAAAGTTGCAACTACTTCCCATATTTCAGTTCTGACTTTGGTTTCTAACTCTCATGAACATGTTGACCTGTGCACACTTCCAAAAAAAAAAAAAAAAGAAGCTAGCTGTTCTTTGATAAGTACTTCTTGTATATTTTATGGTTTGCTCAGATAGCCTCTGATTTAGCCATTTGTGTACATCAAGCAGGTGGCTGTTAAATTTTATTTGCACTTTCCCATGTCTCAGTGTGCACTGTTGCACATCACATTATAATCCAATGAATCTGTGATACCAGGTTTATTCATGTTTTTACTATGGTTTCATTTAGGAAGAATTAGTTTGTTATATTGCTGTATTAACTTGTAGCAATGCTATAATACCCTGTTATGAGTAAATGAATGCATCCATTCAACAACCAATGTTAAGTACCTTTTTATCATCTTGAAATTATGGATTATAAATTCACAGCTCAACACTAGTGCTTAGAATGAAGTATACCAATAGATATGGCAGAAGAATTACATAAAAGTTTTTGCTGGTGTTGTGAGTGGATATTTGTTTTGTTTGAATCAAAGACTCACAGGTTCTTCATAATACTAATATGAATTTCTGCCATGGATTTTCCTCTGCTAAATAGAGATAGGTGTGGGAGTCTGAATCAATTTTACTTGGAGGCTAGTCTGTACATTTGTGAATCAAGTCTCTTATGCCCTTTCTTTCTAAAGAAATACATTGTTACAAAGCAGGGATTTGTGGCCCTCCAGATGCTGTTGGACTACAACTCCCATCATCCCTAGCCAGCATGGCCAATGGCAAGGGATAATGGAAATTCAACAATATCTGGAGGGATACAGATCCCTCATCCCAGATACTAAGACGACTGACTAATCAATCTGATTAGCAAACAGGTCTTTGGGTGCGGCAAAAACATGGGATAATAACAGTTCATTGTTTTCTTTTTTGTTAACCACCCTGGGAGTGTGACTGAAAATGTTGTATACTAAAATTAGGGTTGCCATCTCTCCAAAAGTGAAAATCAGGACACAGTTGTTGAGGGGTTGTTTTTTAGAGGAACTAAAGGTGTTGAGATTTTTTTAGGCACAATTTGACCCTGAGGTGACTTGAGGAACATTCAGGGGAGCCCCAGATGGCTGTCCTTTCATGAACTTGCAGCCTATTATCTTCCTGCCTCTTTTTCTGTCCCCCCCCCAATGTGCCTCTTCTTAAAAGCTTCCCCCCAGCACAAACTAAAATCCTCCCCAGCTTCAGTAACCAACGGTTCCTTAGTTTTACACAGAGGGCTTGGGAAGTGCAAGAAAACAGCAAAGTAGCTTGATGGTGTGTTTGCCTGGATGTGTGTGTTTCATAAGGAGGGTTTTAAAAATAACTCAGAAAGTGAGGAGTGTCTTCTGTGTTCCTCTCTACTTCTACCCCCAACATCCCTCTTCCCTGTTCTTCTCTTCTTCTCCCCCCCAGGCAACCCCCTCCCTCTTGACAGTCAACCAGCTTTATGGGAACAGGGAGCATGTTGCAGGAAAGGACTATGTCTGCATGTGTGTCCTGTGCTGTGTGTTTCACACTTTTCTTCGGTGCAGTAACAAAATATTCCTGCTTCTGAACTTAATTATTGTTTTGCCCTCTCCAGCATCCCCCCCCCATGTGCACCCTAATTTTGGGAAAGGCAGGCTGGGGGTGCCATGTGGAGTGTGCCAGCTCAGCCCTGCAGAGCAGTGGCATCGCTTGGGTTCCCATCAACACATGCACTCCCACTTACACGCACGCCAAAAACAGCCCCCAAAAGGGGCAGGGTCGAATGGGGGAAATCCCTCCTTATGCGTAACAGAACCCCAGTTCTCCCACAGGGGAGCCACAGAAAGAATATGGTTGGTCAAGGGAGCCATGGACTTGAAAAGGTTGAAAACTTCTGATCTAGGGATACTAAAGTATTCCAAACTTCAAAGGGTTTGAATTGAACATGAAGAATCATGGGCAGTCATGGATGAGATAAAATTATATCTAACTCTTCCAATTTTGCAAGACCCCAATTTTAGGGTGTTTAAACCATACCAAACAAAATCCTGCTGCCTTAATGTTGATAGCAGTTCTGCTACTGAGTATCAGAGGCCTGCGGTTCTTTGCTTTCTATAACCGACATTGGTTTGCAGCCATTATTTATAGCGCTGCTGTGATAGTTGCTGGCTCTCTTTTTTATGAGGGATTCTGTAGCATCTAGCAGAAAACCACTTTCTCATCATTTATCCTAAACCTGAAGTATCCTTGGCTTTATAATTCATTTGGAGCAGAGAAACGATAATGGGTTATAGTGCGTGCTAGGAAAGAGAAATATATCTTAAAAGAGATGGGGAGAGTGAAAAGCCGTTGGGCAGCAGTGCAGCGACAAAGACATGGAGAAGAAGGCATGGGCTCGAGGTCGTGGCATATTTCTAGAGACAAAAAGAAAAAAGCCTAAAAGCACAGTGGCATGGCATAATATCACCCCCCCCCAAAGTGTTCCTATTTTTCAGGGATGTCCCTGATGTAGAGAAGCCGTCCCGGTCTCTGATTTGATCCTGCAATGTCCCGCTTTTCCTTAGGACGTCCCTATTTTCATCAAAGAAATATTGGAGGGCATGGAGTTATCTGACCCCTGAGCTGCCTGAAGGCAGCCCTGTATAGGAAAGGTTTTCAATGTTTTTATTATTATTATTATGTTTTTATATATGTTGGAAGGTGCCCAGAGTGACTGTGGCAACCTAGTCAGATGGATGGGGTATAATTAGTAAAATTATCATTATGGATTAGGACGTCTTTATTTGCAAAGGAGAAATGTTGGAGGGTATGTAATGTTAGGAATAAGAGGGCTAGTATAGTGTTTTAAGCAGCAGTGGGGAAACTCTGGCCTATATGCCTAATTTGGTCTGTGCAGTCAGTACAGACCAGTCATGCCCATCCATCAGTCACATGGCATCAGGCATGGAAGAAGAAGGCCAGCCGTTCTGGGTAGTAGGAGTTCTTCTGGAACAGGTCCCCGTCGTCCTCGTCGTTTTCTTCTCCTGCTGCATTGTGAATCTGCTCAAGGAAGTAAAATGTTGGTGGAGAGCAGAACCGTGAATGCTGGGAAGTAAGGGGGCAGCGCATTCCTTCCCCAAGGACTGTCCTAAGGGAATTCCAGGGAGGTCTGCAGAAGCTGCTGCACCTGACATGGCAGCCACAATCCATGAGGGTTTTGCTGGGAGCAGCAGGGAAGAACAGCGTTGTTGGGTGACCTGCTGCCACCACAATTTTCTCCTCCCTCCTTAGTTGGGCTCTACTCCAGCAGTGCCAGCTTAAAGGTAAATCCATATTGCACCTGCCCCCACAGCAGCAGCTCTGTCTCCAGGTATGAAGAATATTAATATTGGTTTTGCTCCAGTGTGCAGCCACCACCAGAGAAAAGCATATTTCTGTTTCTCTGAGATGAATGTCAGGAGGGCATAGGATGTCCCATGTCTTTGGTGTGCTTCCCAGCAGATCTGCCTTTCCAATGCAAGGAAACCCCCTTCCTGCTGCTTTAAGTGGAAATCTAGGCCTATAAACTGCAACGGTTTTAGGAACCCCCACAAATATTGGTTTTCTTTTCATGGGGGTTGAAATCTTTCAGTTGTCTTTAGGAACCTGAGTCTTGAATGTGTGTGCACATGTAAAGGATGCAGGAGCAGCAGCGCAGAGGAGTGCTGGAATTTTTCTTTATTTGTTTTAATTTATTATCTGGAGGGTATTTTCTTTCTAAGTTTGTTTCCTTTTACTTCTCTTGGCCCACCCACTTTGGCCCCATCCACTTCTACCTTTGGTCCCACCCACCTATTTAGCATATTTGAGGAAGTTAATGTCAGGAAGGCAGCCTTTCAAAATTCACTAAAACCTAGAGGCAGGCCAAAATTAGCCAGTCTTAAAATGCAGTTCACTACCAGGAGCAAAGTAAATTCCTTCTCCGAACACTGAGAAACTTACAAGAAAGGTGAATTTACCTTAAGATGATTGACAGCGTACCATTCCAGGTCTTCTAAGATTAACAGTCAAGTCAAATCACCCATCTTTAGCTGCAACGAGAGTAATATATTATGGATTCACAACTGCACACACTCCCAGCATTCCTCCAGAAATGTTGTCTCACCCCTCTCCAGAGTGAAATGCAGAGTTTCAGTCCTATATGACGCTCAATGCATTACCTCACTTGATCACTATTGCCATCCCTGTGTAAACAAGCACCACGATGTGAAAAGCATGTTAAAGGGTAACAAGAACATTGTGTTTCTGAAGTAAGAGCTCAAAATGACATAAAGCAGGCAACTGTCTTCAACAAGGATTTAAATAGTTCTTTCTTGCAAAAGCCCAGTAATTCCAGACTTGACCAGCATCCAAAAAAGCTGTATCCAGACACATCATCTTACTTTTAAATCGGTTTCCTAAGGGGAAAGTAAGGAAGGTCAGCATTTGCAATGCCTCCTCCTCTTGCCTGACACTGATGTTCTCATTAAGTTATGATAGCTCAAAAATTCCACTTGGGAAGCTTAGATTTTTCAAATGCTCTATTTCATTTTTTACTATTCTGTCCAGGGCTTTTCCTGAGCCATGAGATGAACTTTGCCTGTGTACTGAAAGATTAGAGTTGGGTCAAATGCTCATATATTTATGGATCACTGTATTTAAAAGACTCTGGAGGTCTGGGAGATGCGTTTTGTTGACAGTCTTAAGCAAAATGAAAATAGATGCAGTTGTCAAAGTTCAGCTTTGGCATTGCAGACAGTGCTCCTATTGATTTTTTTTAAAAAAAATTACATTGTTTTCTTAGGTCAACAAATAGACCTTGCTGAATGTCAAATAAAGCAAACAGTCCTTCAGAAATATCACATTTCAAAAACATGATCCATTTGGGTTGATGCATGTAAAACTGAAGGCATCTTACACCTTTTACAATTTTGACTTTTCATTTGTTTCAATAACATAGAAGGCCAGCATGGGCTGTAAAAAATTTCATAATACTGGTAGACTCAAGCCCCACAAAAAAATTCTGTAATGTAGATTTCAAAGGCAACTGTAGGAAAACTGGATCAGATTGAGGGAGGTTGTGGTGTGGATGTGAATTCAACCAGCTTATAGGGCAGAAAACTGAAAATATGATATAACTGAATATGGATTCCCTCAAGTCTTTAAACCCCTTCTAGACTTCCTCTGGATTTTAAAGAATTTTTTTTCTGTCTACAGTTGGAAAAATGATGAGTATCACATATCCATGGGAAGTCTGGACACAGGAACAGAATCCCGTTACTTCTGGGCCTTTAAATGGAGAAAAACTTTCTTTCAATTCAGAAAACTTTACTTTTGCTTCTTCTGTGTCAAAGTTCGGTTAGGCTCAATATATATACAGCATGCTAGGAGACTTGATAATGTGTGCTTTGTTTTTAGACTTTGTGGATACCCAGATGCACAGAGTGACAAAGCATTTCAGATATAACCCAGGCTCCGTGGGCCAGCAGCGAATTCCTTGATAGATAACAACATCTGTGCTGCTATTAATGCAAAGTTTGGAGACAACAGTGCACCACAAATGAACTGTACTAGAAACACAGGTGTGAGAATAATGTTTGGTGCAAATAAAGATGTACATGGAGATCACGTGACGTCACCCTATCAAATAGCTGCGCAGTTATCAGTTCTACCTTCTTAGGACAAAAAATACACCACTACATTTTCAAGGTATGGCTGTCAGATTATGACATGCAGATTTTAACCTCCGATTAAATTAACTATTACCCATTGTACAGCCACTGCACGTGAAGACCCAGTCATTAATTATATAGCTTTGGGTTGTCATTTCCTATTACGCAAGATTCTTTGGGTTTGATGGGGCTTGCTCATTTCACAATGGGCACAACTGCAACATTAAGCTTATCCCAAAAGCTTGTAATGGGATTCATGTGCCAAGATGGAGGCTAAAATGAGGACAGAGTGTTTGGCCAGGAGTGTTTTGTAGACAAAGATGAACCACAGCAGTCTATAGATGTCTGGCTATACAGCTGAAAAGACATTCAGGGAAGGAAGAGAGTGAGATGATTTACACACAGCTCCAGACTCCTGCTGCTCTGCCTCTGGCTGTGGAGAAATCATAGACTTCTGGTCCTTCAAAGTTCTGAGTCTGTTGCTGGGAGAACCTACTAAAAAGAGAGACTTACAGGTCAGGGGTCACTTTTAAAGATCATTGGGGTGCATATTCTTTAATACTGCACTATTTGTGTGTACTGGTTTCTGCATTGCAATAACAAAGTTCTATGGATTATAGATAAAATTGACAGAAGTTTAGTTACATGGGCATTTATTCCAATTTAATTTTTATTAAACTATGGTAAGAAACCCGCCAACCAAGAAATTATCACATTTAGTCAAAATCTCCATTGGAGTGGGACCATCTCCTGCCGAAGCCCCATAATCTACTGATGTTCACTCATTTCATTGGAAAATATGTTGCTGTGCTGTGTCCAAAATGAAATCTTGTTAAATGTTTTGCTCAAATCTTGTTTTGACTAATGGGATGAAGTAGACCAGCTCTACAACCTGAGCAGAGTGCAAGAATTGTCAAGAATGGGAGGACTTGTCATTGTGCCAAGGATTCCAGATGGTTGGATTCCCCTCAACCTGGCTGACCCATCTCCAGATAGAACAATGTCTGAAAGAAGTGAGATGAGCATGCGTCTGTAGTTCTTTTAACAGTGCAAGCATTAACACCTCAAAGGAGGCTTTCGGGAGATGGGGCAGGGGGTGATAATGTATTGCATGTGAGCCTGAGAATGCTAGGCTTGGTTTCTGTCTCAGCTACAGCTTTGGGGAAAGCAGGCTCACTCATTCCGCATCCCTGGTGTCTCCACAGTGGTTCAGACATTGTGCTGGGGCAGCTTTTTGCAGATGGAGCTGTTCCCACTTTTGCATTCATGGGAACCCTTTAAGCATATGAGCCAGTGGCTCACAGATCACAGCTGTCACAACATCTAGGGCTTCAGAGGCAGTGACTTGGGAACAATTATGATCTACTTCACAAGATTGCTGTGAAAATGAATGACACGCAGCTTATATAGTATTGTGCTGTACTTCCTTCCCTGCACGCCTATTACCCTTGCAGCAGCTGTTGCAGGCTGTTGCGTTTCTCCCATACCTCTTGAAGTTGCTTCTGCTCTCGTGAATAAAATCCCTTAAAAATATTATGAGACTATACCAAGTAATATGGGGTACTTTCATCTTGGAATTTTTGTTTCCTTCTTATGTTACATTTTTGTTTGTTGGCTCTTAGATTGCATGCACAAACAACTATAATTTCAATTGTAATTTTTCCTTGTACTGTAGCTAGAAATGCTGGATATTCAAACCAGCCAAAGTTAAACTGGTGTTCAGCCTTCTGCTGTTGAAATCAATGGGGCTTTAAAGTGATTAGATTTGGCTGGGTTGCATCCAGTGTTTTTATTGAAGAGACCCATGATTCTGTAGCCAAGATTGGCTTGAATTTCACCCTTGCATATCTAAGATGCTGGAGACTCAGCCGTCCGTTCTAAATAAGAAGGCATTGCTTTCAGTCTGAAGCAGCTAAAGTTTACTGTATAAAACTGAATAAAATCTTTCTGCAGTCATGGAGAAGGTACATAGTTAAGATACATGGAATGTTTAAGTAATCCCATTCCTTTGATCAAGAGATCTAACTTAATTTGAAAACATATGGCAGTGGTGATGTCTGGGTTGATCAGTCTAGACGGGCAATGTGTGTGGGCCAGATGCAAAGTTTGGCTGTTCTCTCTGCTGAAACCTTTGTTGCCTTCCTTTAAAAATTCTGAAGAGTTAGAATAGGAGTGGTATGTTTATGTGCACACAAACTTCTTTTATATTAAGTTAAAAACCAGCAAGTCAGCCGGTGCTTGTGTAATTGCAAGCAGCCACCAAATCTCTGGGATTTTGTTGTGGCATGAAAGGTGGAAGAAGCTGGATGTAGTTTTATTTTGTTAATTAACCTCACATACTTCAGAAACCTCCTCTCTCTTTTATTTTTTATTGTATTCTGTGTTGAAAGGTTTCAATACAAAATTGTTAAAAAAGAAACCCTTCTTAGGAAAGGGTGGATGGTTATTTACAATCAATCAATCAATCAATCAATTAAAAGCCATGAGGAATTGAACTGTGATCCTTTCCTGGCAGAGAGCACAGAGGCCAAGATCACTTCAGCATGATCAACTGGAGCCAATGGACCTCAGGCAACAATACATCCACTGCTGGAATCGACTCTTTGGAAGCCGTCTGTGTGTGAACTCTCTGCATCAGGCCAGCTGTTCAGTGCATTGGCTTGAGTCCTAGCCTGACCTTCAAACCATCTGTCCTAGCAAGAAAGCTGCTGTTTTCCTTGAGCACTGAACAGGCAACTCCACATAGTCTCTTTTTTAGTTCATTTACCCAAACATGATGCATGAACATGTCACAGTCATGCTGCTTCAGCATGGTGGAAAGGTGCACTGGTGTATTTCTGAGATTATTATTTTTTAAGTCCTCTAAGGAATGAGGACTAAGTGTCAAGAGTGCCTAAACTGGCTCATACTAAATAAATATCAAAACAGTGCAGAGCTCCCCAAGCAAATATGAAAATTCTGGATCCTGAGAAACACTCCCTATGACCTCTGTCTCAGAGATCAAAACTCTTTCTTTCTTTCTTTCTTTCTTTCTTTCTTTCTTTCTTTCTTTCTTTCTCGCTCTCTCTCCTCACTCAAACTCTCATATGCAAGCTACCTAGGCACCTGGAAGATTACAACAACCCTTGCATTTGGAAAAAAACACATTCTGCTCTCAAACCACATGATTAGAAGAGTGACTAGTGGGGTGCCACTGGGTTCTGTCTTGGGCCCGGTCTTATTCAACATCTTGATCAACGACTTGGATGATGGACTCAAGGGCATCCTGATCAAATTTGCAGATGACACCAAATTGGGAGGGGTGGCTAACACCCCAGAGGACAGGATCACACTTCAAAACGACCTTGACAGATTAGAGAACTGGGCCAAAACAAACAAGATGAATTTTAACAGGGAGAAATGTAAAGTATTGCACTTGGGCAAAAAAATGAGAGGCACAAATACAAGATGGGGGACACCTGGCTTGAGAGCAGT